GTCGTAGTAGTAGTAGTAGTAGTAGTAGTAGTAGCAGTAGTAGTAGTAGTAGTAGTAGTAGTAGTAGTAGCAGCAGCAGTAGTAGTAGTAGTAGTAGTAGTGTTGGTGGTAGTTTTCAAACGAATGCGTGCGGCGCTAAGGCGTATACATTACGAATGGCGGGCTGTTTTTTTGAATTCCAAGTCTTGTTGAGGGTCGGGGACGACGCTGGGGTGGTGAGGTGTCTATTTTTCCCCGGTGTCCCGGGGAAGCGACGAACAAGTGTATACACCAGGGCCCCGTACACACCAGAAGCCGCGCTCTTGCGCGAATCTCAGCGCAGGGCCAGGAAAAGCGCCGGTGTATGGAGTTCGTTTCCCTACTCCAGATTTCGTAATAAAGGGGAGGGGGTCACAATCCTCCCAGACCACAAATTTTACACCCCCCCAGACCATCCATGAAAGGGCGGCACTTTGCCCAGACCCCCCCCAACCCTTCAAGACAGCTCAAATCAGACCCCCCCGCCAAATGTACCCCCCCCTACTTTATTATGGAATCCGGAGTACCTGTCGGTCGTTGCCCCTGGAGGTGCTGCGGGCGGCCCTCGCGGACGCCCGCGCCGCCGTCTCGCTGTCGGCCGGCGCGGGGGCGGAGGGCGCGAGCGCCGCGGCCGAGGCCCACCGCGCGCTGCACGGCGCCCTGCTGGCGGCGGGCCGCGCCGAGGAGGCGGAGAGCGTCGCCCGGGCCGCGCCCGGCCCTCTGGATGCGCGCGCGGAGATGTCGGCCGAGGTGCAGACCCACCCTGGTTCCAGATCCGCCCTACTTTGGCTTTTTTTCTAAACTAGAATTGCGTCGGAAATCCACCTATCAGGAGCCGAAAAAGTAGGGCGGAAATTTCTGCACCCAACATAAAAAAGGGCGAACATCCACAGAAGTAGGGCGGAAACAACAACAGAAAAGTAGGGCGGAAGTTGGCATCAGCGGGGCTTGAAAAGTAAGGCGGAAATTCCAAGCCCTACTTACGAATTTCCCCAAAGTAGGGCGGATCCGGAGTCAGGGCAGACCTCCGACGTATTGAAAAATCGAGACGGAGGTTTTGCTCGATTTTCGGCCTCTGGCGGCCCTCGCCGGGCCCGGGACCGTCAAAAGACGACTCAGGATGAGGAGCCTGTCCTGGGGCATGGGTCGAGACTTCCGGGGACCCCGTATTGAACAAATCACGATGTCGGATCTCTGGGTACCCGTCGGTCGTGGGAAGCAGATATTTTTGGATTTCCAGCTTCCAATCTGCTTGGAGCGCCTTCCTGCCTCGATGGTCGAGTGGCTTCACCGGTTCTGTCCTCTTTCAGGGCGCGCGCCGAAGCCCCATCTGCGTTCACCGCCTTCTTACTTCATGTTCCTGCCTACTTCTTCCGACCGAGGGTGCCAACACCGCTGCCGTTGCCTCTCTTCCGCCTTCCCTGGGCCTCCTGGGCGGCCTTCGTCGCCACGGCGGGCTGCGCCTCGTGGTGCCAGTCCGGGCGCGCCCCCGGGATCCGAGGCGGGAATTTCTACCTGACCACCGCCCGGAGGATCGATTTCCGGGGGCCTCGGCAGGCGGTGGATAAGGGCGTGTTCGGACCCCCGGGGGCCAAAGTGTATTCATATATCCAAAATGTATCCATATATCCATATCTCCAAAATGTATGGCCAAAATGTATCCATATATCCAACATGTATCCATATATCCACTGGGACGGCGGTGCCCAGGCGGCGGATATGGATAAACCCCCGCCTCGCACGGGAGGGGCCCGGGGAGCAGCGGCGTCGGCATCTCGCGGCTTCCCCCAGAGGTGCCCGGGAGCCTGGCCGCGGAGATGGACGCGGACGCGGACGATGGCCGCTCGCCCGGTGCTCGGACCCCCGAGAAAAGGGCGGCCCTGCCAAGTCTCAGGGCGCCCACATCGCAGAGCGGATTTCGTGTTGTGCTGCTCCCATCCTATTTGGAGGACCACATCACAGAAAACAAATCGAGCGCCCGGAAAAGTGTCGAAACAGTGTCGAACGGGTATCGCCTCCCAGGGCCCGACACGTGAAGACCCCCAAGTTTCGATACTTTCGTGGTGTTCGGAATTCTTTCTGGTGATCAAGGCTGAAGTAGGTTGGAACATCATCAATTTCGTTCGGGAACTATGGGATGGGCCCTAATTGTCCTGGAGAGTTGCGTTCCGGATTTCGAGGTAAATTTCGTATGCGGATTTTCCTCGGCCAGGGAGGAGGACGAAACAAAGGTCCACGCGAAATTCACGCCGTTTTTCACCCGCCGCTTCGGGGTTCTGCACTGACAGGAGTCCACGCAAGCATCTGCTGCAGCACGTCTGCCACAAGAACCCTTGGTGTCCTCGGCCTTGGTGTCCTCGGCCTCTCGCGCGCCCCGCGTCGGCACCTCAGGGGCAGTGTCGTCCTCGGAGGCTGCCAGCAGGGCTCGCTGGACGAGGCTGTCTTCGCTAGGCCTGCGGCCCCTGAGCCTGACCTGAGGCCCCCCACGGCTCCACCCGAAGGCGCCCCAACAGCCGTCGAAAAATCACCCTTCTCGAGCCCTGTCTTCGCTAGGCCTGCGGCCCCTGAGCCTGACCTGAGGCCCCCCACGGCTCCACCCGAAGGCGCCCCGGCAGCCGTCGCACGAGCGCCCCTCTCGAGCCAGACCTCCTCTCGACGTCCCCGACGGTGCGGCCCTCGGAGGGCCCTGGCAGCCGTCGAACCAGCGCCCCTCTCGAGCCAGACCTCCTCTCGACGTCCCCGACGGCGTGGCCCTCGGAGGGCCCCAGTGGTCGCTCGCGGGCCCTCTCTCGCAGAGGTCGAGCTCGACGACGGCATGGGGCGGAGGGGACGGGCACCCAGACGCCGCGCCTGGCCGGTCGTTCCCTCCAGATGTGTTCCCCGAGCACTCCTCCTCCTCCTCCTCCTCCTCCTCCTCTTCCTCCTCCTCCCTCCCTCTCGCCTCCTACCCTCCTCCCTCCTCCCTCCTCCCTCCGCCCTCCTCCCTCCTCCTCCTCCTCCTCCTCCTCCTCCTCCTCCTCCTCCTCCTCCTCCTCCTCCTCCTCCTACTCCCCCTCCTTGCACGGGACAGGTCCTGGCGGATGTTCCCCGATCAGTGCATGCACGGAAGGGGTCCTCGCGTAGATTGCGAGATTTGGCGGCAGTTTCCCGCCGATGTCGGTACGGTGGAGGCGCTTGTGAAGGAATGAGGCACCAGACCCTGGAGGATTCCTTGTCAAACCTAGGGCGGCGGTGATATCCGTGGCCGATCCGCGATGGAAGTTCCACTGGTTTCCAGACCCTGGATTCCTTATCTACGGGTTCCTTATCCAATGCCCACACCGTAGCCGGCTGGGTTCCCGGGTTCCCGCTCCCGGGTTCCCGGGTTCCTGGTTCTATTGGTTCCGAGCCGATGTCGGCGGATTCCTGGTTCCTGGGTGCCCGGGTTCGATCTCCTTATCGATCTTTTTTTATCGATCCCGTGATTCATTATCGATCTCGTGATCGATCTCATTATGCATCTCACTCCATCGATCTCACCATCGATCTCATCAAACCATCCGCTCTTTGGTTTTTTTCCTCTGGTGCAATCGTGGATTCTTGCCAGGTTTTCTGGCTTCCGAGGCACGTTCCGATGGCCCCGCAGAGCGCGTTTGCCCACGCTGCCTGCGGCTGCGTCTGATGGGCCTGTTTTCCACCACCACGACCACCATAAGTTGGAGGGGGAGGGGGTCCTCCTCTTTTTCCTCCTCCACCTCCTCCTCCTCCTCCTCCTCCTCCTCCTCCTCTTCGTCCTCCTCCTCCTCGTCCTCCTCCTCCTTCCCCCCTCCAACTTATGGTGGTGGTGGTGGACAACAGGCCCATCAGCGTCGTCACTAAAGCCGACGCTGTCCAGCAAGGGTTGGGAACCGTTCCTGCGGAGCAGGGGGGGCGAGGAGCTGATCGCAGCAGCAAAGTCCAACGCGATGATGCTGGATGGGTTGTCTTTTCCGCTGTCGCTGGCCTGGGTGCTGCGCCAGGCCGCGGAGTGGCCTGAGGAGGGCCTGAGAAGTGGCGAGGAGGTGAACGTTGTCGTCTTGGGCGCCACGGCCAGGGCAGAGGTGCGACTGTGGGCAGAGAGCGACTACTGGAGCGAGCTGAGGATCGCGAGCGGCGACCGTAACCGTACCCACGCCCTCGCGGTCTGGCTTCCAGGGCGCGATCCCGTGGATGCCCGGGCGCACGGACACGCTCCACGCGGGGCATCCGCGAGCAGCACGGCCCGTATTGACAGGGTCGCGACCCGAGGGCCTGGCCTGTGAGAGGCCGTGGATGCGGACGTGTCTCCTGCCCGTGCGAGGAGGGCGCTCGTCGACCTGTGCGGCCTGCAGGGGAGCCTGCGGCTGCACTTCGTCGGGCCGGAGCTGGACGAGTCCCCGCCGGGCGGGCCCCCCGACGTGCACCGGGTGGTGCCGCCGTGCGCCGAGCGCTTCCTGAAGCAGCGGCGGGAGCTGACGCCGAGGAACACCGTCTGCGCCGTGTTCAACGGCGGCTTCGGGAACTTCGTGGACTCAAAGGACCCACCCGCGAGCGGTGCATGCATCCGTGCCCGCGCCCCCGCGGTCCGGAATCCGGGGCACGCTTCCGCGACACCCGAGCATTTTCTTTGGGTGGAGGGCGAAGGGTGAAATCTGCAGTGCCGTTTCGATTGGTTCTCGAGGCTTGGATCTGGAAGAGGTGAATCACAAGACGGATTGGTTTTCGAGATGTAAACGCCCACATGGATTTCACCCTGAGCCTTCGTGGGCCCTGGAAACGGCAGGGCCGTTTTTTTAACGGTTCCGTTTGGCCGTGTTTTTGCCGGTTCCGACGCCATTTTTTGCCGGTTCCGTCGCCGTTCTTTTGCGGGCTTCCCGCTCCAGCTCCAATCCCGGAGCCGTTTCTTTGCCGTCTCCGGCCGCCGCTTTTCTGCCGCTTCCAATTTTTCGAGGGACACTTCTCCGGAGACGGCGAAAAAAAGACCCTGCTGTTTCCGGGGCCCACTGATCGGGTTGACCCAAAAGGGGGTCCAGCGACAAGGGGGTGGTGCAAGAGATCTGGTGCAATAGATTTGGTGCAATAGATTTCTGGGGTGACAATACATTTCGGGTGTGCAATGCATTCCAGGGCGCAAGTGTATTGCTGGACTTTCGCGTGCAATATACATTCGTTGCAATACAATGCACTACGATCCTCGGGCGCAGTACGTCTGCAATACCATGGCCCCAAATCTGTTGCACCACCCCCTTGCAGCTGGACCCCCTTTGGGGTCGCCCAGAGCTGAGCCCCGAGCCCTCCACCCCGAGACAGTGCGCCGGGCACGCGCGCGCACGGGTGCGGGCCGCGCGGGGGCGGCCGCGGGGAAGCGCCCCCCGCACGTCCGCGGGCGCGCGGCCGGGGGCCTCGGCCCGCGGGGGCCCCGGCCGGGGGCGGACTTTGTGTCTCGCCCGCGAGCCCAGGCGTGCGAAGGAGCGCTTGGGCGGTTGTCGTCCCTCGGGTTACGTCGGGCGTGCCCCTCTACAGGAGGAATGTTCCGAACGATTTCTTTGTATAAGAAAGATGATCTATATATATATATATATATATATATATTATCGAAGGTGAGGGGGTGAGATCGAAGTTGAACGGAGAGCCCCCCTACCGGGAAATCGGTTTCGGTTTCGTGTTCGTGCGTGCCGTGCGTGCGGACGAGGCGAAGCGGCGTGGGCGGGCGAGAAATGTCCCGCCTCTGGCTGAGGCGCGACCGGACCAAAAGTCTCCCTTCCGGCAACCGGTGCCGCGCGGTGTCCCTCCGGTGTCCGGCCCGTGTCCCGTTGGTGTCCCGATGATGATGATTATGATGATGATGATGAGGATGATGACGATGTTGATGATGATGATGACGATGTTGATGATGATGATGATGATGATGATTATGATGATGATGATGGCCATGGTGGTGATGATGACGGTGTCCCGATGATGATGTTGATGATGCTGATGTTGCTGATGATGATGGTGTCCCGATGATGATGTTGATGATGATGATGATGATGATGTTGATGATACTGATGATGTTGATGATGATGATGATGAGATGATGATGATGACGATGGTGTTCCGATGATGATAAGGTTGATGATGATGCTGTTGATGATGATGGTGGTGATGATGATGGTGTCCCGATGATGATGATGTTGATGATGATGACGATGATGGTGTCCCGATGATGGTGATGATGTTGATGATGAGGACGATGATGAGGTGATGATGATGATTTTGATGGTGGTGGCCCGATGGTGATGATGATGCTGATGTTGATGATGATGATGATGATGATGATGATGATGGTGTCCTCATGATGATGATGGAAATGGTGATGATGATGACGATGCTGATGGTGTTCCGATAATGATGATGTTGATGATGCTGATGATGATGATGCTGTTGCTGCTGATGATGATGGTGTCCCGATGATCATGATCATGTTGTTGATGATGATGATGATGGTGATGATGATGATGATGTTGATGATGCTGATGATGATGATGGTGTTCCGATGATGATCATGGTGTTTCGATGATGATGATGTTGATGACGTTGGTGACGATGATGGTGTCCCGATGATGGTGATGATGGCGTTGATAATGATGGTGATGATGATGGCCATGGTAGCGATGATGACGGTGTCCCGATGATGATGATGTTGGTGATGCTGATGTTGCTGGTGATGATGATGGTGCCCCGATGATGATGATGGTGATGATCTTGATGATGTTGATGATGATGATGAGATGATGAAGAGGACGATGATGATGATGGTGTTCCGATGATGATGATAATGATGTTGATGATGTTGCTGTTGATGATGCTGATTGTGATGATGATGATGATGATGATGATGGAAATGGTGATGATGATGACGATGCTGATGGTGTTCCGATGATGTTGATGCTGGTGATGATGATGACGATCATGGTGCTCGATGATGATGATGGTGATGATGAGGATGATGATGAGGTGATGATGACTTTGATGATGGTGGTCCGATGCTGATGATGCTGATGTTGATGATGATGGTGTCCCGATGGTGATGATGGTGATGATGATGATGACGGTGACGATGATGATGGTGTCCCGATGATGGTGATGTTGATGATGATCCTTTTGCTGATGATGATGGTGTCCCGACGATGATGATGCTGGCGATGGTGTTCATGATGATGATGGTGGTGTTCCGATGATGGTGATGATGGTGTCCCGATGATGATGATGATGATGATGATGATGATGATGATGATGATGTTGATAATGATTCCGGTGACAATGATGGTGTCCCGATAATTATGATGATGGTGATGATGATGTTGGTGATGATGGTGATGAGGTGATGATGATGATGGTGTTCCGATGATGATATTGATGATGTTGATGACGTTGGTGACGATGATGTCGATGACGATGGTGATGACGTTAGTTGTGCGATCGATTGTGATATCGATAGTGATATCGATTGTGAGACCGAATGTGAGATATATTGTGAGATCGATAGTGAGATCGATCGTGATATCGATTGTGAGGTCGATGGTCAGATCGACTTGTTAGATCGATCGAATAAAATAGATCGAGTGTTATCGATAGTGAGATCGATCGTAAGAACGATAGTGAGACCGATCGAGTGAGACGTTGGTTCCTCCCCCCTGAACCTCCTGATCACCCGCAGTGTTGGCGTATAAGGATAATATATATATATATATACACCCCCAAAAATGAGTTTAAACTCTTCACAGAAGATCTGCCTGGAAGGGTACACGCCCGACTTAACCCTTGGGGGCGCCGACTCGGGCCCCTGGACCGTCGCCGAGAGCGACTCGGGACGAGACGCCAGCCCCCAAAGTTAGGGGTCGGTCGAGCACTCCGAAGGGGCCCACGCTGCGGGGACGGCCGCGACGTTTCGGGGGTCCCCGTGGGCGGCGCGAAGACAAGCTGCAGCGAGGGGTGCAGCGCGCAGTGGCGCCCGTGGAGAGTTTTTCGAGCCGCGCCCGTCACGCTGCGGAGGACGACGGGCGGGCGGAGCTGCTCTGGAGCTGGCTTCCCGACCTGGCCCTGCTCGGGGAGCGGGGCTTCCTCTGCGCCTTCTGCTCGGCGGCGGCGATGCAGAGCCCGGGGGGAAGGAGGGGGAGCGCTGCAGGATCCCTGGGGCTCAGGGCCCACGAGCTGACCCCCCCTGCAAGCCTCGTGAAAAATAGTTGCCTCCGAGGGGGGAGCCGCAATCGACTACCCCCCCTCCCGCCCCAAGAGGCCCACAAGAGCCCCCCAAGAGGCCCTTGGGGCCCCCAAGACGCCGCCAAGGAGACTCCCAATAGGTCCCCAAGAGGCCCCCAAGAGGCCCTAAAGAGGGCTCCAGGGCCGGCGGAATGAGCGAAGCGATTAAACAAACAGAAGACTTCTGACTTCGGTGATTGTGGGGTCAGCGCTACTCCAACGCTGACGGACGCCTGTTGACTCGGACGCGGAGTTGTCCAAAAACCGACCCCACCCTCTCAGCATTGAAGAGCGCGCTTCCTGACAAGTGCCCGAAAGCATCGTGCTCAAGGATTTCAATTTCCATTTCTGGATATTTTTGACGAGGCTTGTAGGTGATGGGATGGGTCTCAGGGTCCATCGGGCCACCCCCCCTCCCAGATGGGAATTGGGGGACGACGACGGCGACGACGACGACGACGATGACGACGCCTCCGTAGCCATTTTGGCTCAGGCCTGCCTCGGGCGCGCGCGCGCGGGCGTCTGGGCATGATGGCGCGGGATGTCGCCCCGTGTGGCGACAGTCGGCCTGATGCGAGCGGCGGCCCTGGCTGGCCTTCCTCGGCCAAGCGTCGGGAGGCGCGCAAGGCAGCGGCTGCGGCGGCTGAGGCAGCCGTGCACCGCCTGTCGCTCGAGGCGCGGGCCTGGCGCAGGCTCTACGAGGACCTGGCGGCGGCCCTCGGGGCTGCGGGCGTGGACGGCGAGCTGAGCAGGCGCTTGGCAGCGGCCGCCCCTGCCTTGGCTGCCCTCATCCGTGGGGAGGTGCCGAGTGCGGTCGAGCGCCTGAGACGGAACGTGGCCCTCCATGCGGAAGCTGAGGGCATCGACCTGCTGGGCGCTGGGGCTGCGCAGCTCCGCGTGGCGCAGCACGGCCCGAGGCTCGGCGCAAAGCCCGCGGCTCCCGAGGCGGGCGCCTTCGGTGGTGCCTTAGGGGAGCGGCTGGACGGTGAGCCTGACGATGATGTGTGCGCACTGCTGGCAGGCGCGGGGGCGGCGGGCCCGCTTCCTGAACTGCCCGCTGGTGCGCTGTATGCTGTGGACCTGGAGAAGGCCCTCTCGGAACCGCGGTTGGCGCCAGGCATGTGGGCCAAGGCGCATGCCGAGACGGTGTCCTTCGTTTCGGGCCTGGCGGCGGGGTGGCACCTGGCTGAGCGCGTGCTGCTGCTGCCACCGGGGATGCGGTGCACGTGTGGTGCCGTTGTCTTCTCGGCCCCGCCGGTGGCCTCCGAGGTGCCCCTGGCGGCTTGGCAGACGGAGTGCGCCCTGGCGCCGCCGCCGCGCCCAGCGCTCCTGGAGTGCAGGTCAGGATCGCAAGTGGGAAATGTGGCAGCCGCCGCGGCCGCGTCCGACGACCTGCTGCTGGGCGCACTGGGCATCGTGGGCTACGGCGGCGAGAGAGTGCGCGGCGGCGACGGGGACGACCGCGGCGCCTTCGTGGACCATGCCGTGCCTGCGGCTGGCGTGTCCTCGCCGCTGCTTTTGTCCGTCGGTGGCCGCCTGGGCGAGGCCGTCAGCCACAACGACAGCGACGACGACAGCGTAGGCGGCCAGGGATTGGAGCATGCCGACTGCGATGCTGCTACTGCCTGCTCCGCCACCGCTGAGTTGGCGATCGCTGGAGTGATCGCAGACTACCTCAGCGAGAACGAAGCCGCACTCCTCCGTGGAGACGGAGACCGCGGTCGAGCTGCCGCGAGGCTCGCTGAGCTGGCCCTGCCGACCGAGGACGCCGAGGGCGAAGTGCAGCGAATTTGGGGTCGTGAGTTCGACCTGCGTCCCGTCGTCATCGGCACGGCCTTCGAGGAGGAGGCGGAGGAGGCCCCCCCGCGCGGAGGCGAGGCTGGCGGCGTGGACGAGCCCGTCCGCGGTCTCTGGGCCTTTTTGGACGACCTCTCGGTAGCATCGATCGCCTGTGTTGCTCACGGGCCCTCGCTCGCGCTCGAGAGGCTCCTCGTCCTTGCCGAGGCCCAGGTGCAGGACGGTTAGCCTCGCGTGCGGACGCTAATTCCGTTTGCTCCGTGCATTCGCATTTCTTGTTTTTGAATGTGTACGTGAGCTTGCAATCGCGGCGCTTCGCGCCTGGCACCCGTGGGGCCCTGGGTTTTTCGGGGCTCTTCCCCTGCTCCTGGGGCTCCCTAGAGGTGCGGAGGTGGCCCGTGGCGGCCCCTCCTCTGGTGGAGGGTGGCCCGAAGCGGCCCCTCCTGGAGCTTCCCAGCCTTTATGGCCCCGCAAAGACAAAGACAAAGACGATGACGACGCCGCCGCCGACGATGACGACGACGACGACGACGAAGACACCGTCAGCTCCAGGTGTCCGATGCCGACGCTGATGTCGCTGTCGTCGTCGTCGTCGTCGTCCTCCTCCTCCTCCTCCTCGTCCTCGTCCTCGTCCTCCTCCTCCCTGATGTGGGGGGAGGGCCGGACCCCATAGCCACCACTGCACGCCCGCAGGGGAAGACCCCACCACGCCAGGCCCACAGGGGCGCGGGGGGGTCCATCGCGCGGGGGGTGGTTGGGCGGGGGCCCGCCCGGGCGGTGGGTGGGTGGGGGGACGATGACATCAGCATGAGGGGGGGTAAGTCAGGTCGGGCGTGTCCCCTTACAGGCGGGTTTTGGACGAAAAATGGAAAACGTTAAAAATGACCAAACATTGTCAAGAATAGTCGAAAAATCGTCCCCAGTTTTTTTCCCCTACCCTCCTTGGTTGGGTATTCGTTTTGAATAGAGCGATGCGGTCTCCAGTTCTCCTCCTCCTTCTCCTCCCGTCTCCCGCTCCCCTCTTGTCTCCTCTTGCCTTGCGCGAACCTGGCCATCCCTGGGGGCTGCGATCTGTGACACTGTCGCCACTTTCGAGGGCTGCTGGTGGGTCCTGCGGAGTGAGGCACCGCGGGGATCTGAGCGGGACCTCGCCGTCCCTGGGGGGCTGCGATCTGCGACACCGTCGTCATTTTCGAGGGCTGCTTGTGGGTCCTGCGGAGTGAGGCACCGCGGGGCTCTGTGCGGGACCTCTCCGTCCCTGGGGGGCTGCGATCTGCGACGCTGTCGCCACTTTCGAGGGCTGCTGGTGGGTCCTGCGGAGTGAGGCACCGCGGGGGTCTGAGCGGGACCTCGCCGTCCCTGGGGGGCTGCGATCTGCGACGCTGTCGCCACTTTCGAGGGCTGCTGGTGGGTCCTGCGGAGTGAGGCACCGCGGGGATCTGAGCGGGACCTCGCCGTCCCTGGGGGGCTGCGATCTGCGACATTGTCGCCACTTTCGATGGCTGCTGGTGGGTCCTTCGGAGTGAGGCACCGCGGGGATCTGAGCGGGCCTCGCCCGTCCCACCTGGGGGGCTGCGATCTGCGACATTGTCGCCATTTTCGAGGGCTGCTGGTGGGTCCTGCGGAGTGAGGCACCGCGGGGCTCTGAGCGGGACCTCTCCGACCCTGGGGGGCTGCGATCTGCGACGCTGTCGCCACTTTCGAGGGCTGCTGGTGGGTCCTGCGGAGTGAGGCACCGCGGGGATCTGAGCGGGACCTGGCCGTCCCTGGGGGGTTGCGATTTGCGACGCTGTCGCCACTTTCGAGGGCTGCTGGTGGGTCCTGCGGAGTGAGGCACCGCGGGGATCTGAGCGGGACCTCGCCGTCCCTGTGGGGCTGCGATCTGCGACACCGTCGCCACTTTCGAGGGCTACTGGTGGGTCCTGCGGAGTGAGGCACCGCGGGGATCTGAGCGGGACCTCGCCGTCCCTGGGGGGCTGCGATCTGCGACACCGTCGCCACCTTTGAGGGCTGCTGGTGGGTCCTGCGGAGTGAGGCACCGCGGGGATCTGAGCGGGACCTCGCCGTCCCTGGGGGGGCTGCGATCTGCGACACCGTCGCCACTTTCGAGGGCTGCTGGCGGGTCCTGCGGAGTGAGGCACCGCGGGGATTTGAGCGAGTCCTCGCCGTCCTTCGGGGGCTCTGGAGAGCTGCTGTGGGATACGTTAGGCGCAACGGGCGCATGGCACAGCCAACGGGGGTGATTTGTGAAACAGGCCATCTGCCAGGCGATGGCCATAACGTTGTGCCTACACGTATCCCCCGCGGGGGCTCTCAAGAGCTGCTGTGGGATACGTTGGATGCAACGGGCGCATGGCACAGCCAACGGGGGTGATTTGTTCTTGCGTAGCCCTTAGATCTTGATCGGGGGCCTGCGAACCTTCCGATTGCTGCTCGCAAAATCACGTGCGTCCATGTTACGTCATCGCCCCCGTTGTAGCAATCCTGATGTACTTGTGCCCCGCATTGCGCAAGGGTTGGGTACGTCGCCAGGGTAATTTTTGGTTGTGCAATTTGTTTTTTAAAAAATACATCCTGTAGAGGGACATGCCGGACTTCAGGGTTGGGTGGGGGGTGCCCGGACCCTGGATCATGCGTGCACGCACGGGCGTGGATGGCCCATGCCTCCTGCGAGGCCCGCCGCGGCGAGTACACGTGTAATGCCCGCCCGTGGCGGGTGGGGGGTTGGGGGCCGGATGGCATCAGCATGAGTCATGGGAGGAAAAACCACCCGGACTGGACAATTGGCGTTTGCTAGACGGCCTTGGGTGTTTACCAAAAAGCCTTGCCCTGTTCGGTTCCTTCAGTGGGGGGCGTTTCGTAAACGGCCCCGCTTGTCGGGGTGGTTAATGATTTTTGGGGTGGACTTTTTGCCCTCGAATGAGGGGGGTTGGGTGGGGGGGGACCCTGGATCATGCGCGTACCCGCGGGCGTGGATGGCCCATGCCTCTGGCGAGGCTCCCAGGGCGAGTGCACGTGGTAGTGCCCGCCCTCCGGGCGGTCCGCCCCTAATTGCATCGCCGCCGCCGGTCCTTCTGCGCCAACGACTACGCGGACCTCCGGGGGGAGGTGGCCGGAGGGTTTCCCCGAAGGGCTCAGGCGACCCGTCCTCCTCCTCCTCCTCCTCCTTCCCCTCCTCCTCCTCCCTCCTTCCCCTCCTCCTCCCCTCCCTCTCCCTCCTCCTCCTCCTCCATCCTCCCTCCTCCTCCTTCCCTCTTCCTTCCTCCTCCTCCTCCTCCCTCCCCCTCCTCCTCCTCCCCTTCCGCCTCCTCATCCTCCTCCTCCTCCTTCCTCCTCCTCCTCCCCTTCCCCTCCTCCTTCCCCTCCTTCCCCTCCTCCTCCTCCTTCTCCTCCTCGTTCTCCTCCCTCTCTTTCTTCTCCTCCCCCTCCTTCATTCCTTCTCCTTATAGATAACTCCTCCCTGTCGCACCCCGAGGCCAGTTTTTAGGGCGGCCGGGCGTTTCGCTGAGACTTCCTCACCATTCATGGTTTTGAACATTTAAAAGTGGCAACAGTTTCACAGATGGAAGGGCGGGTCGTTTTCAAAATGTGGCTCTCGCCTTAGCGCTGCGCACATTTGTTTTAGGAATTTGCACGAGTTTCACGGATTGAGGGCGGGTGGTTTTGAAAATGTGGCTCTCGCCTTAGCGCCGCGCGCATTCGATTTAAGCATTTGCAAGAGTTTCACGGTTTGAGGGCAGGTCGTTTTCATAATGTGGCTCTCGCTTTAGCGCTGCGCACACTCGTCAGGTGTTGCGCCCACCAGGAAACAAAACGAGGGCCTCGACAAATTTGTTTTTGCATTTTTTCATGTATTTATTGGTGGCGTCAAACGCGGTCGTCGCCGATCGCTTGCCCTGATTTAGCGATTTCGGTCGACGGAGGCACGCGAATCGCGCGAGTTTCCTTCTCGTAACTGCTTTTGCCGTGTGCCGCGTTTTCATGGCGCACGTGCCGCGCCTGGCCCTTTCAGATTCAATCGCTCGTACTAGTGCGCGGGCCGCACGCAGGCCGCAGTCCACGCGCGCTTGCGCGGCGCACCGCAGCGCGCTTCGAAACGATGTTGGGCACAATGGCATTTTTAGCGCAACGCCGCGAAATTGTTAGCCACCTCGCGCGGGTGATGCCGAACGCACGCGTGTCCCACCGCATGTGCGCCGCCGGAGCTAATTTTCCGATTTCGGTCGTGAATAGTATCGCGGGCGTGTGTCAGGCGCCTTCGACGCGCCATGTAGGCCCGCGCCGTGCGCGCCCACGCATCAGGTCAGAAACATATCATCTTACTACTTCCGCGTAATGCAGCGCGTGCGTTGCAACGCTGTTAGCCAAGGGCGCTGGTGCGTCGCCGAAAACCACAGCCAGGTTCCCTTGGCAGGAGGACTGGCGGGGGGCGCTCATATTCACCACCCTGAGGGGAGCCGCCAATGGTTCTCTCACGGTCCCGTTCGCAGCCGTTTTGTGGGGATGTCTCAAGCGGTGTGCTTGTTTTCTGTCCCAGCATCCTTCGCTCTCGGAGAAGATTTGGAGGATGTCTCGAGCGAGGCGCTCCACTTCACCCCCCCAGGTGGGCCAGATTTTGAGGATGTCTCGATCGGTGGCCAGACTCGTGGGCGCTGGTTTTCCTGGGGATGCCACAGGAGGCTCCAACAGGTTCCAGGAGGCCCGTGGAGACCACATGAGGTCCCAGGATGAATCAGGATGCCACAGAAAGACCCAAGAGGCCACAGGATGCCCCAAGAGGCTCTAGGAGGCCCCAGGAAGCTCCTGGAGGCTTCAGGAAGCCACAGGAGGCCCCAGGAGGCCAGAGGAAGCGCCAGGAGGTCTCCGGAGGGCAACAGGAGGCCCCGAGAGGCCCCAGGAGCAGGAGGCCTCAGAAGGCAACAGGGGTGGTTCCAATCCCATGTGTTTTACGTATGCTCTCATATATTGGGCCTCACCTGGGGCACGAATCCTTGATGTTATACGTATGTTTCTATAGATTGTCCATATCCTGTGTACTTATGTTCCTATAGGGCCTCTCCTAGGGCACGACTCCTTGGTGTTGTACGCGTGTTCCTATAGATTGTCCCTTTTTTTTCTGCGGCTCCAAGTCGCAATGTTTTATGTGCGACTGTTGCTATAGATTGGGCCTCTCCTCGGGCACGAATCCTCCCTAGGAGGTCCCAGGAGGCCCCAGGGGGCCCAAAGAGGCTCCTGGAGGCCCCAAGAAGCCCCAGTAGGTCCCCAGGAGGCCCCAGGAGGCCCCAGGAGGACCCAGGGACATGCGCAGAGACGCGCTCGTACTACTGAGGCTCATTCACACTCCAATTGATTCTCAGTTAGATTCATGACCAGACCGTCACAACTGAAACCCGTTTATACTCGAAAGTTTTTGCGCCTAGATTCTCACGGCGGACAGGTCCATGGGAATAAATGCGCATATGGGGAGCCCCACGCAGTGAATATTTGAATCCCCTTAGGGGGTGA